TGGTTGTATTAGGTTGGATATCCTTGATCTACTTTCGAAAGCGATCTGATCATTTTATAAATCACACACGAATGCAGTTAAACGAGGAGGGTTTGCCTTTTGTAGAAATAGTTGAGAAAGAAGAGGAATCGGAGAGTGAGAAACGAGGTCCAACAATGGAGAATGACCAAGGAGAATTGAAACAAACAGGTAAAAAATACAAGTGCTGTAATAAGCACATGTTTGGCGTTATCCAACATCGACCATTTGAATTGACTCGTGCATTTATGGAAAAAAATCTTTACAGAAACTCAAGAAAAGCGAACAATGAGCGTCGAGGATGAACAGTTATTTGATGCTCTTATTAAAGATGAAGAACTTGAGGAAACAATAGATTCAGATGATGATGAAGATTTCGAAGGTAGTGAGTCGTCAGATTATGAAGATAAATGGGAGGAGGAAACGACATCCGAAGTTCATGATAAATCTCGGCGAACCAAGAAAGTCACATTTGCCGATCAAACTTTAAGTCCAAAATCGAAACCATCAGAAAGTAGTCCACCTAACCTCTCAATGATTGACATTTACAATAAGATGCTTCAGGATATGAGAAAAACTGACGATGTGAGTTTTATGATTGAGGAAGTCACACATCCAACAGAAGATCTATCCGCAAAGGAAATTGGAAAACTGAATCTTGGACACAACTTGGGTGACGCCAAAACATCGGCTTCCTCAGTCAAGCGGGTGGAAGAGGTTAAGGGGAAGGTTATTCGAAATAAGAAATTTGATGCGAAATCAGTAGAGGAGCAGGCGGTTAAGAATAAAGTGATAGAAAAGGAGATACCTCCCGAAGAACAAGATGCAGACAGCATAGAAAATGAAATATGGATGAAAGAGGTTTGTTGATTGGTGTGATCTTGTTCCTTGGGTTTCTTTCGGTTATTGGTTTCTTCATATCCCAATTCCTCTTTTTTTTTTTTTGTTCTTCAAGATCGCATCCGAATATCACCAAAAACGCCTTGACCTAATTTCTCAGCAAGGAGAACTCTCACCCCCATCGGAAACGGGAACTTTTGGGATTAAGGTACGACAAAAAACATCTCATTTCAAATTTTCAATTTGCTTGGTATATTTTTGCTTTTGATTTTTTTTCTCTTTGCTGCATTCAGATTCCTGGCTACACCCAAGTTCAGGACACAAGTTCTGTCGTTAATAGTTCTCAGCCGACCACTGATAAGCCTAAAAAGGTTTCTAGATTTAAGGCTGCTAGGTTAAAGGGTCAATTAGAGTAACCTCTCACGTTCGCAAGTAAATTTTCTGTCAATTCAGACTACATATATTTATGTTTTTTTTTTTTTTTGATGCCTGCCTTCGATTGATATTTATATATACTGTGTACTTCATTTTTGAGTAGCGGCATCTTGATGCCGTTCAATGTTATTATCACCAGTCTCATCTATACGAAACCTTTATATGGAGCAATAGAACTGGATCGCTTTTCGTGCTATGGGTCCCTTTAGAATCGAGTATTAAAGAATTCTTTGGACAACATTCTCACATAATAACACCGGAACCCGGATTTTAAAATCTCAAAAGAATTGTGTAAACTCAACAATAATAATCATCAAATATATTAAGATGATAGTAACGCATGTTACAACACTGGATGTAGCCCCTGTGCATACCACACTTACATAAATTCTATTATAGGGATAATGTCATTAGAGTATTGTACTATATAGAGATCATATATACACTATATATTAAATTACTTTGCCCAACAATTATTCTCTAAACTTACAAGAAGAATTCGCGCTAGTCTAGGGTTCCAAGATTTCTTGCAAACAAGCGAGAAAATTCCTTGAAGTTTTTTAATCTAGTTAACGTCACGAAAAAAAATAATAATTTTTTTTATAAAATAAAGATATCCCTACAATTCGATCAACCAGTTATATACCACACAGAAAATACAACTTTTCGTTCGATTCGGTTGATTAAGTTGTACCAACTCTTTATTATCATTCGTTCGTTTATCGTATAGAGAGAATTGGAGATTGTGTGATTTCCTGCATATCAAGAGGCAATGAGATACCTCGCCATAAAATATTTCATAAGAATAAATGATACCTTGCGTTATTTATCACAATCCATCACGGTGATGGCAAATTATCAACATTGTGCTTCATCCCTTCAAGGAGCCTTCTCTTCTCATTATACAGTAACTTATACGAATTCTTGATGGTCACCTCAGAAACGCCAGTAACCTGGGCTACATCCTTTGTGGATTGCGGTTGGTTGTAGAGGCATGATGCCATATAGATGCAAGCCGCGGCGACAGAGACAGGTGATTTTCCCGCAAGTGTTCCGAGCTCTTTCGTCTTCGCGGTTAATACGATAGCTGTCTTTTGTATCTCCATTCGAAGATTCAACATCGAACAGAAACGTGACATCAAATCCTCCGACGTCATCGTCGACACATTTGTTTCAAAGGTACGGATCAATGTCTTGAAGCAACGCCCGATTTCTTTCTTGGGCACCCTGGTGATCACGCAGATCTCTTTAAAAGTGCGAGGAACGTTTTCCTGACGGCACGCGATAAATATGCAAGCGGCAATAATTGACTCGGTGCTTTTACCGCGCAAAAGTTTCTCCTCCTCGACTCGCTTGTACAATTGCTTGGCAATATCGGCGATTATTCTGGTCAAGCCGATGGAATCGCTCATGGCGGTGATCTCCTGATAAGCTTGGAGGAGATTCTTCTCGCCCTTAACAGCGTTAGCACGACCGTGGACCTTGTTAAGATCTCGCGCAGTTCCGGAACCGCCATCCCTTTTGGAGATCACCGTGTCCAACTGCGAACCGTCAAGAAGCGGATTCGCGGCGGCACCGACACGTGAAGGGTCGTCTCCATCGTCATTCGCAAAAGTTCTCCACTCGGATCTTGTGTCAATAATTCGATCCCCGAGGACTAGACCGCAGTCGCCGCAGACGAGATCGCCGCTGGCGAACTCCTCAATGATATTTGGCACGGAGTTCTTGCAGTCTGGGCAAATCAGCCTGACATTCAGGTCCGGTTGGATCTGTTTGGGGCCTGTTTCGACTGTGGGTTGCAAGCGTGGGAATGGAATATTCGACATCTTCCCTTTGGGTGTCTATTTTTACCTTTCACAACAATCGATTAGTTCACTGTCATACGTGCGCACGCACTAGGTATATATGTGATAGGTGAATCGAGATCAGGCTACGTAAGTGATTATTGGTGCAACTGAAAGAATTTAAATTTGAACACAAATTTAAATATCGGCATCGAAACTTCGTTTCATCGTACCGTAACATCACGTTATATCATTTTCAACCTTGGTCAAGTGTAGAATTTTGATTTTCATTTACGCAAATCCTTTAAAATTAAATGGCAGTCTCAACAATTGAATGCAAGGAATTCACAGCTGCCGAGGGACATTACACACAGAGAGAGAATATTTTTATAGAAACAAGAGTGCCAAATTTGACTGGTGGGACCTCGGTGTCCATAATTTCCGTGAAATATAAAGAGTATCCGAGCTCGCCTAATGCCGATGGCGGCTTGTTAGCGATAGACCGCGTGGGCGAAAATATTTCAGACACTCGGTCAACTTCTGTGACTGAAAATACTTTGGTGGTGGACTTGGATGAACCAACGGAATTAGATAAATCAGAACCTTTATCGCCAATCATTGAGGGTAACAGCCTTGGATCCCCAATACAATCATCACCCGTCGTGAAGCCACCTTCGGCCGGCAATGGAGCCGTCCCAACGGCGATCGAAGGAAAGAAGGATGATGATATGTTTTCAGTCTTCAACGTGATGAAAAGGAAAAAAACAAGGGGAAACATCACCAGGACGACGTCGTCGCTTGTGGCTAAAATAACCCAGAGCGACAATCTGGCGAAGATGTTGGCGAATCGACAGAACGAAGACACCTACCTATTTGTTAATGCGGGACGAGCGTTCTGTTGGATAGACCTAACTCACCCAAAGGTATCGCATAATTTTACGATAATATTTAGTGGTGATGCGCGGGGTTTTGGTTTTAATTATTCCTTCATCTGATCAGGATCCATTGTCCAGAATCGAGTTCACCAAATACCCCATATGTCACGATGTCAATATACTTACCCGCTCGTGTGACCATTTAGATGTTATAATTGGGTTTTCATCCGGTGATCTTATTTGGTTTGATCCTTTGTGCAGTAAATATAATCGGCTCAATAAGCAGGTAGGCATGCGTTCAAGTGACATTCAGTGTTCCACGTTGTAGATGATTGATAAATGCATTCATGTTAATTCGATTGCCGTCGAAATCCTTCAGGGTGCGATAAACAATTCACCTGTAACGATGGTGAAGTGGAAGCCCGGTACGGAAAATCTTTTTATGGTCTCTTATCAGAATGGTTCGCTAGTTGTATATGACAAGGATAGGGATGATCAGAGCTTCACGCCGCCAGCAGGGAACGAAGAAGAGGGGTTAGTGGATGATGCTAAGGGGGGGGGGGAAGCATTGATTCGATGAAATGTCTGACAATAACGATAACCTGCCCATTTTGATTTCCATGTGAATAAAGATTCCGAGTAATAAGGCCGACAAAAACCTCGAAACATAATCCAGTTTCATACTGGCAAGTTTCCAGGAGTGCAATAACAGGTAAGATATCATCCACCACGGTCTCCTTCCTTCCTTCTTTTTTTTTTTTTAAAGAAGGGTTAGTTCCAGAGAAAATTCATTCACTCCTTCTCCTTTCTTTTCCTCTCTCATTTATTTATATTATTTTTTTTTTTAGCATTTGCGTTTTCCCCGGATCATCAACACGTGGCAACTGTTTCAGTAGATGGTTGTTTGCGCATTATAGATTTTGTGAAAGAAGCGTGAGTTGCGACCGTTTCATTGAGTCATGGCACTTCTAATACAATCGCGCATCTTCATCTCTTTTCACGGTGTAGGTTGTGTGACACGTACAGCAGTTACTTTGGTGGGTTTTCCTGCGTTTGTTGGAGCCCCGACGGTAGGTATGTGTTAACGGGCGGCCAAGATGATTTGGTCACCATATGGGACTTTCGGGAACAACGTATTGTGGCCCGTTGTCAAGGACATCAGTCGTGGGTTACCGGCGTATCATTTGATCCGTGGATGTGTGACGAACGTAACTATCGGTTTGGTTCCGTCGGTGAAGACACGAAACTATTGTTGTGGGATTTCAGTGTGAACGCGTTGCACAAGCCTAAGAGCGTATGTTGACTATTGTTTCCAAACATTTTTATGTAATTGCTGTTTTCCAATTTCCTCTACTTTCATCATGCTCTCGGACCCTTTACACGCGAGATGATTGATTGATTCTTGTGTGAATTTTGTTCCTCAGTCAGGAAGCCATCGAAGAGCCAGTCTAGCGTCATCGCAATCACATGCTGTCGCTCTTGCGCTGAGGAGAAATTTGGTTGAACGAGGAAATTTAAAGGACCAAGTGCATCATTGTTTGCCTCGTTTGGAAGTCGCAATTTTACAACCCGTAACCGTAAGATTCTTTCAAAGAATGATCGATGCCCTCTGTATCTAACAAATTGTTGTTGATCACATTGCGTTTTAGGAAAAGTCAATTGACGGCGAACCACTTTGCTCGATAACTTTCCGCGAAGACTCGATCGTAACGACATGTCGAAAAGGACACATAAAATTGTGGGCGAGACCCCAGTCTGATCAAAAGTGATCAGGTCGAAGGAAGTGACCACGAGAGAAATTTTGGAATTCACTCAAACCCCCTTAACTTATTTAATAATTACTATACCTCAAACATCAAAATCTTTTTTTTTATTTTCACAAATAAAATTCCCAGGTGTAAATAGGTTTACATCACGCATTTACGTCATTTTATTAGCATGTATTATTAATCGAAAGTTTGATAAGTGCAATGCGTTGAGGAAAACTTTGCAACTATTTATTGTACTGTATAATTAAAAAAAAAAAAAAAAAATTACTTAATACAAGAATTGGCTCACGGATGATGTAAATGATGCGTTACTCATCCTTAAATCACACCACCACGCATTACGGTAATTATTGACTTATGCAAAGATTCTATATAGTCAATTCAATCAATTAATCGTTTCAACAATCCACGAATAACATATTGTTTTGAAGATCGCAACATCCCGTGACACTGATCTCTCTTACACGCACATACTACACGTACACATCTTTGACATCGATAAAATGTCTTCGTCCGCAACAATTAGTTCTTGGTCGTCGGTAATTGATGAGCAAGAAGATGGTTTTGACGCAGAGGATGATCTGGAAACGGAAGAACAGCGAGTAATTATTAATGGTTTTCCGTTCCGCTAAGATCAACTTTTTTTATTTATCTTGCCAAAATTACGCGTCTACGCGTAGCTCGCCAATGGCAATAGGGATGCCGTTCTCTTTGTGATCGATTGCTCGTTGTCAATGATGAGTGAAGATGCAAATGGTGATGTACCGTTCCGTTCAGCAGCCCAATGCGCATCCGCAGTAATGATGAACAAGATTATTAGTGCAAATGATAATGACTTCTTGGGCGTAATGCTCGTTGGCACGGTGAGCTGATGTTCTGATTTCCCGGCAATCATTCTTCTCGTATCGGTTTCTCAATGATTCTATTGTAATTTAGGAAAAGTCTCAGAATCCGCTTGAGAAAGAACACATTTACGTCCTGCAGAACATGGATCAATCGGACATTCATCGAATCATGGAGTTGAATAAAATTTCCGATTGTAAATTAAACCGTCGTCTCGTCAAATTTTACAGTGACAATCACAATTTCATATATATAATATATTTACTGTGCTAATTTTCGTAATTAGTCGAGCAGTCTGATTTCGTACGAGAATATGGAATTACCGACAAGGAGTATCCGTTCGGTGACGTCTTTTGGGTCTGTAGCGAATTATTTAACTCAATGTAAGCATAATTTTGGCAGTTGTTTATATTAAAGCAACAAAGACATTAATATTTTCCGTTATTTACTAGAACAGCCTCATCATTGAAAACGAAGAGAATCTTTCTGATCACCGATCAAGATAAACCTCATTCGGACAATCCCGTCTTGCGTAGTACGGCGATTACGCGTGCAAGAGTATATGATCTGATCTTTTATAATTGATGACAATCCTTGGATGTTGTCTATTCTAATCAATTGTCTCATTTCAAAGGATTTAATCGAATCAAAAATTGAAATAAATTTATTTAGCATCAATAGACCCGGCTCAACTTTTGATCTTAATGCTTTTTATGCGGTATGTTACCATCATCAATATTATGCGCGTTAATTCAGACTAATTGTGTTACTTATCAAACAGGAGGTACTTATGGCGGATGAGGAATATGGCGATTCACCTCACGTCAGCGCATCGAAGAATTTTGATGGCTTATTGTCTCAAATTTTATCCAAAGAATTCCCTAGGAGGTCCATGTTTTCTGTACCCTTTCGTCTGTTTGAGGGCGAAGGGATGACGATAGGTGTTAAGGGGTATTATATTAGAAGCGTTATTATTATTATTTGGCGAAATTATTTGATATGATATTAATTATTTTCTCACTGTGAAAAATCTTATCGTCATCCAGTTATATTGTGATCAGCGAGCGGAAGAAACCTCCACATAAGTGGGTTCATATGAGGGGCGAGACCACGCGTTTGACAGAAAGCAAGACAAAATTGATCTGTGCGGTATGTTCAATTAGCATTTGGTGAATTCTTTAATCTCGCATTGACACCATGTTTTATGTTTTAGGACACTACGCAAGAACTATTGCCCCAAGACATAAAAAGCGGTTTCTTTTATGGTGGAGAAAGGGTTTGTCTATATCACTTGTAATTCTATCGGTGCTTCATTCATTATTTACTTTAATCGTACTCAATCAGATCGTTTTTACCAAAGAAGAAATGCAAAAAATTAAAGAAATTGGAGACAAAGGTGATCATAATAAGTGAATTAAACGAAATCAGGTTCCGCGATCTTAACTTTCCATTTGATAGGCATAACTCTTCTTGGCTTCAAGCCAGCGTCAGCGCTAAAAGTTCATTATAATATGGATGCCTCTTATCTTTTATATCCCGATGAAGAGGTAGGACTCCCTATACTTTTTAATTTTCAACATGTAATTGTAATTATTTTGTGCCTATTCATTCGACAATATCAGCAATATGAGGGTAGTAGGAGGACATTTGCGGCTTTGCATAAAAAGATGATTGAGATGGAAAAGGTCGCAATCTGTACCGCTAATCTTCGCGCAGGTAGTTTAACGAAATTTGTCGCCTTAAAACCTCAGGTACATCATGTTTAACGGATGAATAATTCGCCGAACGCAACCTTGATAGTGATTTGAGCGTTTATTTTCCCACAGCCTGAATTGCTTGACAATGAAGGACGGCAGATACAACCCCCCGGGTTGAGTATGTTTACACTACCTTTTGCCGATGACATTAGACCTCTTCCACCTCACGCCTCCATCACACCAGGTGAACAATTCATGATCTATGGACGCGACATTTATAACAGATCAATTTTTTTAATTGTATGTTGATCAATAGCCCCCGATATCCTGGTCGATGCTATTAAACCGATAATTGAGAAGCTTCAGATTAAAGGAGGATATAATCCACAAAGATTCAGCAATCCTTGTAAATGTCCTGATCATAAAATGCTATTTATTTTGCTCAGGGTCCTTCTTGATGAAGTCATTTAATTGTTCCTATTTTTATCTAGCATTGGCGAGGTTTTACAATGTGTTAATAGATTTGGCCCTTAATCGAGACGTGGAGGCGGAATTCGCCGACTCGACCATGCCAAAAAATTCGTTAATTCACCAGGTTATTCGAGGGTTTTATAGTGGGTGCATTGGAAAAACGATAACCAAATTCATATAACAACTTCACGTGATTTATTTAATAGCGTGTTGGAGAGTTTGTTAAATCATTTAATCTAGAAGCTGACGAGCAAGCAAGTAGTTTGCCTGTGAGCCTCGCACCTTCACGGTCATCGCGGTCGCTTTCTAGCCGTGTATCCAGGTCTCAAGGCTCCCATGTTGATATGACAACATTGTATGCTGAAAACAAGGTAAATAAATTACGCGAACGTTGTTTAATTTTTATCATAATAGAATTCTATATAAATGTATTATTCGTTATTTCAGGTCAACAAGGTAAGAGTTTTCATATTTATTTACAAAGCGTGCACGCAACAATCTTCAATACTGACATTTAAATCTTCGGATCATATGTAGGCTACGGTGATTCAACTAAAGGAATTTCTTAATAGCGTGGGCATTAAGCCATCTGGTAAAAAAGATGATCTTGTTAATCAGGTCAACACATATTTTGAATCAAAGTAAATTCTATTTGTAAGGTGTTTACAGACACGCATAATTGAGCTTAATAAAAAACCATTCGTTTTAAAAATATATATATATCTATATTTTTTATATTAACCATTTGTCAGGTTAGCTATATGTGCTTTGTATTATACTGTACATAAATATTTATGTGGCATTAAAGTTATAATTATGGCTAATTCATTTATCTTTGTCAGTGTTGATTCCAAGTGCAACTTTGGGAGTGATTTGACACATTAAGAAACTTATTTGTTTTGATAAAATAAATAAATATACTATATACAGTATATATTGTATATTTAAACTGATTCAAAAAATTAACTATTATATTATAGTATCAATTGTTTATTTAAGTTAACAGTGATCTATTGCAAGTTATTATACATATATTTAAAAGTCACTTTTGAGTAAATATATAAATATTATTACTAGAATATTTATTAAAATAAAAATTTCTTTTCGAATACTCACAGTCAGGCTAAATCCTAATTTATTAATCAATTGAAAACATAAGTATATTTTCATTCAAGCAGCTGATACATACTATAGCTAAATATTTATCAAATTTAATTAACTTGTCATAAGCAATAATAGCCTTTAAGTTTGATCTTAAGGATAATATTTTGTTCTATAGTAATTTTTGAATAAAAACTCTTCTAGTTCACTATTTTATTATTAGTAGGTTGTTACTACTGAATATCCTATCAAGTTACTAAAATATAGAAAACTACAAAAGGATAGATTAAAAAAAAAAGAGAAAATATATATCTAAAAATGTTCAAATGGATAAACAAAAAATAAAATAAAATAAAAATATTTAGCTTTCTCAAAAGATCTGTTTTTTAAGATTTCTTCTCAATAAGAAATATCTAATTGAGATATTCATACTTTTTTTTTCTAACTATCTAAGAAACTTATTCATTTTTTATCTTAATTTCCTTCTTGTATATTGTTTAAAAAGACTTATTACCTAGTAAAAATCTTTATTTCCAATAATACACTTGATAATAATTTTTTATCTATCTATGATAAACAAGTAACTTATTATAAATTTCAGGTTCTTATATAATCCAATAGGAACTGAGCCATATTGTTTCACTATAATATCTTTAATAATTATATCTAGTTAAAGAAATTTTATCAATAAATATCTTTTATTATTCAAAAAATTGAATTCTTCATTCTTTTTTTTTGCTTTGTAATAATAAGAAAATTTATCTATGAGAATTCTCATTAATTATAATATTTTTTAATAATTTCTGAAAAAATATATTCTTAACTATGATTAAATAATTGAAGCTTAATATGGACTAGAAATTATTTGATCTTATTGCTTGACCAGGATAAAAAAGAGACCTTGATTTTGAATTTTGTTTAACTAGAATAATAAAAAAGAAAAATCTCAACTTAAACAAATAGTAGTTTTTTCATTAACTAGAACTTGTTGCTTATATCTTATTGACCTCATAGAACTTAATCTATAGATTAATCCAATTGAAAAAGTAGAACAGAAACTAAATATCAATCAACTTTTTCTATTATCAATGATATTGTAATCAAATTTATATTTGACCAATATATCCAAGTGAAATTGTTTTTAAAAGAACAATTCTCAAAGAAAGAATTAAAGAAGTGATTTATAATAAAGAAATATTTAAGAATAGATTCACCAAGAATCCTTTAAACAGTGTCACACAATATTTCACAATAAATATGGTTCACTCAGAATTCAAGTTTATTAATAAATCAAGAAAACTAGAACAATTCCTTTAGTCCTAAAATCAAAAGAAGATATCCA